TATCAGAGCAAGTCCACCCCTAGGGACTTTGCGCCAGCACCCAGCGCATTTATCCACTTAAGTGAACAGTAATAGGCCAAGGCATCTCCACCCCTAAAAAAATGCGCTGGCACCCAGCACATTTATTTGGTGTGTTTTTTTTTTTTAAGTTTATTTCGGATAAGATTTTTAACCAATTTCAGATAAAATTTCAAATAAACTTAAAAAAAATACACACTAAAATAAAATTACATACCCATCAAATAAACTTAAAAAAAACACACTAAAATAAAATTACATAAACTCATCAAATAAACTATAAAAAAAAACACACTAATATGAAATTACATAAACTCATCAAATACACTTTATTCTTCAACCACAAGCTTTTTGGTATTTTTTTTCACACAAAAAGTATATGAAAGCTTTGGTAGAAAGTGTAGAAAATATTGAAATGTGGTGTAAGGTGGAAGATGAGAGTTAGGTATTTATAGAAAAATAAATAAATTTTTTTTAAAATTTTCTGTATTTTTTAATATTTTTTAATTTAGTTAATTAACGTGGACCGTTGATCTGTGATCGGACGGTCTATTTTAAAAGTAAAATTTTAATTTTTTTTACCGTTCGAAATCCAACGGCTATGAGCATGCCACGTCGTTGATGGGATTCGGAGCACAAGTGGGCTGACAGCCCCTCTGCAGCCTGTCGGCTACTCGCGCCCAGGCGCGCTTGTCGTGCATGCGCCAGCCAAATAGGCCGGCTTCTTGGTCTGTCAAAATTGGGCTGGCCTGTTGCCTGGCATGGGCTGGGTGCCAGGCAACTTTGTGGGCTGGAGCAAATTCACTGAGGGCTGGCTTGTTTTTTGGACTGAGGGCTAGGACATTTTGTTCCCGGTGGACTTGCTCTCAGAGAGGTGACACAAATAATAGTACAAATATATGACAAGGGTAACATTACTCATAATACAATACCTTAAAATGCACATGACATGTGCCACTTAGTACTACGTTCTAGTGGTATTCCTCTTCACTTGTAAGTGAAAGGTCTTAGGTTCAATTCTCGCTAGAGACAAATTTGAACCATATTATTACTAGCATATTATCAGGCTTAACCCACTTCCACAGACCCAATGAGATTTCATTAGTCTTTCCGGCCAACTGAAATCAACTCAACTCCCCCCAATTAATTATTATTAACAACCATCAATACAAACCCAAACACAATACAATCGAACTGACTTAATTTAATTCAATACGGGGACTTAATTGTGAATTTTTTTAGTGTAGCTATCACATTATACGTAATGTTATCACTCTACTAATGTTATGATATGTGTGTTTAATTATTATATTATAACCAATTAGTATTATGATTTAGTGGTATTCCTCTTTGCTAGTAAGTCGGAGATCTCAGGTTCGATTCTTTGCCAAAGGCAAATTTGAACCACATTATTACTAGCCCATTGTGAGGCCTAACCCACTCCCCACCCTCTTAGTATAGATATATCATTCGTTAAAAAAAATTATATTATAGCCTAACTCCCTAAAATATTGGCCGTGTTGTTCAATAATTTTACATACCATGTCAATTAACAACACTATGTGACAGTGCAATTGTAATACTCAAAGAAAATAAAATTTCAAATTTGAGGATCCAAACAATTTGAAGGTCTAGTCCAAGTTAGAGCATCCCTAATTGAGCTTTATCCTCCTTGAGGCTACCATATTTGTAGCTCTAATGAAAATTTTCATCTCCAATGGGCTGGAAAATGAAGCTACATCTACCACCTGGGCTAGCAACTTCAATCATTGGGTAACAAAGAGTTAGGCTACATCTAGCCTAAAAAACGTAAGGGAAACCCACACCAGATTGAGGGCCCAATCTTCTCTTTTTTTTTTAATTTTTTTTTAAGAAATGGGTGAGCCCCATTTTTAATTCCAAAACATGATTTTAAGGGTTTATTTTCCAACCGTTTAGGATTTTAAAGATTTTTTTTAACCGTTTGTTTGATTAAGAAAACATATACAAACAACGATTATTTTTTGTGTGATTGATTAGAAAAAAATGTTGTACTTTGTGTTTAATTTTCAAAAATTGAAAAATTCATAAAAAAATGATGAAATTTAATTGGTAGTATTTAGAGACCTAAACCAAAAATATAAACAAATAACATAACTAAATTGTGCTAAGATAATCCAATCCAATGGTTGTTATGAAATGAAAATCTTGTTTGATTTTGGAGAATGTGTCAATCTGAGAGAAAAACCAACGGATGAGATTGAGATAAGATAAACACATCCAATGGTTGTTATGAAATGAAATCCTATCTTGTCTGATTTCATAGAAACAAACCAATGAATGAGATTGAGATAAGAGAGCCTCCAACAATGCATAAATGATAAAATCTAACTTTGTCAGAATTTGAATATTTTAAGGTTAAAAATTTCATAAATTAAAATTTAAGATAACACTCCAAAAATCAAGTTAAGAAAAGTTAAGACAAAAATAAATTTACTGCGCAATCAAATTACTACAAAATAAAATATATAACCTCATATAAAGCCCGAAAGATATAAAGCCCCTTATGAGAGAAATTCTTTTTTTTAGAGCCCAAAAGATTCCTCGGAGGTCTAAATTGGGATATATCCATCGCTTTCTAGCCCCATATATAGCCCTTCATTGGGATGCTCTTACAAACCAAAACATGATTATCAGGGATCGCGTTGCTCAATCATTTTATATACCATGTCAATTAACAACACTATATGACGGTGCAACTGTAATACCCAAAGAAAATAAAATTTCAAATTTGAGGATCCAAACAATTTGAAGGTCTAGTCCAAGTTACAAACCAAAACATGATTCTCAAGGACAATAGTGGTGGAGTGGAGTGGTGGCTTACCAATGTTTAAGATACGGTTGATATTTCCATAGAAATATCCAAAAAAATTAGGGAGAGATATGGAAATGGGTGATGAAGTCTAAACTTCACCTCATATCGAAGAAATTCTTAAGTTTATACTAAAATCGAGATATATCGTCGATATTTTTAACACATTTGTTAAATATTGGAGAAACTCTTATATTTCATACAAACCAATGTTTGATAGTCCCTAAATTTTCATATTAAATTTCCATCATTTCCATCGAAAGTAACAGATGTCGATATCAATATTTTCACAAATTTGCATATCGATATTTCCATTTATACTGATATTTTAAACATTATGGCTTATCCATCCGCATGGTATATGAATTATGGAAAACTCATATGACACCGATGCTGAGAAACCTTACCATTTGAAATCCAATCAAAGGATTACTGAAAATGTAGAAACATTATATGGACCTAAAACTAGTACTGTTTGGTCACCATGCAAGATCAAATTACTGTGTTGCTCATGCATGAATTTATAGGCTATCACCAACAAAATGCCGAGACATTCATTCATATATGTCTGGTTGTATTGTATGTGAACTATTTTGGCACTTTTTCTTTAACCTAGAGACGTATACATGATTGATCCTTTTTTTTTTTTTTTATAATATAATTTCATTACTTTTTTGGCTCCACTTTTTCGGGGTCTAGAATACTCACAGAGGCATTTCAGCTTCTCCTGTCCATTATTGTGTGATTCACCAGCACTAGAAATCGAACCTAGGATATGTCGTGTGGAATATGAGCCTGTAATTCGTCCCCAACCACTGAGCCACCTCGCGGTGATTTTTCCCTCGAACATTCTTAGGGTTGGTTTTATAGTACCATTTTTCACAGAAAATTTTCTTGTTGTTATAAATAGAACGGAATAAAAATGTATTTTTTCTTTTAATACTATTTTCATGTATATTTTTTTCATTTTCTTCCCACCATTGTTCATATATTTTTTTTCTCCCATCATATTTACTCTCTATTATCAATAAAAAGGTGAAAACTATGAACTCAAAACGAAATCGCTATCAGACGACATTTCCACTTATAATTTTATAATACAAGCAATAACAAAAGAGAGAAAACTGAACATGAGAAATATCGACAAAAAAAAAAGAACATGAGAAAAATATCAAGAGAGGGGAAATCAAACACAAAATATCTACTGTTAAGAAAAATACTGTTACCCACTGGAACTACAACTCCATGGGAGACATATTGTTATTATTTACTTCCTCAAATCTGAACTTTTACTGATTTATTACGATCATTTTACCAAGAAAACCATTCCGATTTCATTGTAAGTAAACATGCTCTATAATTTTGTCATTTACTTACATGGCACCAACTCTGAGTGGACCCATCATGGCGCTGGGCCCCAACTTTTGCCCTAAACTACTAAGTGCAGCATAAACATCCAAATAGTTGCCAACCCCTTCCCATTAGATATATACTTGTTAAATAATATTAATAATAATAAAAATAATAATTTACACCTCAATAAATTTAAGTTATTCAAATTGAGAACTTTAACGAAAAGCTCATGATACTGTTCACTTTAATGAAAAACCACATTTTTATACTAAAAAGTTAATCATGGTACTATTCACTTTACCCTTTATTTTGTCCTTATCGTTAAAACTTAAAGTTTTCAAGCCATTTTCATTAGTTTTTCTATTAAAATTAGCTAGTTGAATTAAAAAGAAAATGAAAATGCATACCTGCTTGGATGACGAGTTTATATATAATTATTATGGAATATAAATGACTTATTATATGTGTTTAACCAAATTTTTACATTTTATAATCAAACATCATCATATAAAATGAAAGACAAAGCAATTGTAGACTGCTTGTAATCAAGTTAGCCAGACAATGTAGCCTTCTGTATTCAAGTTCGAATTTTTTCCGTCTTATTGTTTAAATTAATTAGAATATCATTTTGTTAAAAAAGAAACACAAAAAATGAAAATACTTATCCCACAAAACAAATGGATACAAATTGATAATTGTTTCTGTACAAGCCAGAAAAACTGGCATAAAATGCCAAATACATTCTTCTGACTGTTAAATCTCCGCCCTTCCTTCCTTATCACACCATCTCTCTCTATATCTTTTATTTCTCCTTCTCTACCTTTTTTTTTCCTCCTTCATTTCCCCATTATCTTCCACTGTGTTCTTCTTCCTCTCCTCGTTATCCAAAACTCTCGAGCTCCAAACTTTGAGAGAGAAACTGATATAGAGAGAGAAAGAAAGAGCAAGCTTTCCTCCATATCTTCTTCTTCTTCTTCTTCTTCTGCATAATTATTATCTTAATTATGGCTTTCTACATGCATGGCTATTAATTGGTGCAGTAAGCTCCTTGTTTTCAACACTTAGAAAAACAAAGTCTTCCACTTTCTTTTCAAATACTCGGTAAATGTTCGAAGTCCTACAAACGTTCAAAGTTTTCAGTGTTTTCTTTAATTATATATTTTCACTTAATATTCAATTTAGCTATATATTTTTGTGCTAACTTTATGAGTTTATGGATTAGTGGATAATTAATTTGTGGTTAGTATTGCCTTATGCTTTAAACCTTATCCTAGTTTTTTCCAATCTTATTAACACTGGTTTAATGAATTAATATATATGTTTAGGAGAGTAATTAAGTAAGTTCAAGTTTAAGCTCATTCCTTCAAGAGCAAGCTGCAAAAATGGCGCCCAGAAACAGCCGTGGAAAGGGAAAAGGAGACAAGAAGAAGAAAGAAGAAAAGGGTATTTATCATTATCTTATATTTCTTATTCAAATTGCTAATTTTGGATTACGTAAGTTAAGCACCGATTAAGTTAACTAATTAATCATTTGTCCGTTTTTTTTTGCTCTGCAGTTCTTCCTGTTGTTATGGATATCACTGTGAACCTTCCTGATGAAAGCAGTGTCGTTTTGAAGGTTGTTAGATTATAATTTTTTAATTTAAAAAAGCTAAATTCCTAAGTGTTTCTGTCTGTCTTGTTACTTGTACTCTTTGGAAGACATTGGTTAAGAGCATATGTTTAGTTCTTAACTTGTTCAGTGGTTGGATTTGAATATGTACTAACTCCTAAACACTTTCACCTACTTTCCCATGATTAAAGTTAGTTTTTTAGGGCTAGAATGTAATGACAAAAGTTATACTATTTTGTATGTATTGACGTTGAATCTACTATATTTACTGATTACATACTCTTTATAAAGATCGATTTATGCATCAGAATTTTATATATGTAAAATAACAGGATAGTTTTGAACAGGGAATATCGACAGATAAGATTATCGATGTTCGTCAGCTGTTATCAGTGAACACAGAAACTTGTAACATTACGAACTTTTCACTATCTCATGAGGTAATTTCCATTACCCACATTATTTCTTTTTTCTTTTTATCATTATTATTTCAAAGTATCGATTTCCCCTTTTGGATAAGTATCAAAAATGGGATGTAGTTGAAGGAATTCAATCCCTTTGCATTACCAAATCAAAAGCCATTACTGTCGTTGCTAAAGGAGAATAAACGACAATTGTGACAAAAAAATAAAAAAAGGAGAATAAACGACCATAATGTTATTGTCGTTTATGGCAGGTAAGAGGGCAACGATTGAAGGACACGGTGGACGTCTCCGCACTGAAGCCGTGCGTTCTGGCGTTGGTCGAAGGTAATAGTCAAAACGTATTCCGACGTCGTTTTATCTCCACTTTTTATGATCTTTATGCCCCGTAGGAATTGGACACTTGAGGGCCCATTGGGCCAGAGTGTCCGAACGTCGTCGTATTATGCTTCTTCTTCCTCAGTCAAATTTCTCACTCTCTGTGCTTCTCAGAGGACTACGATGAACAGCGCGCCACGGCGCACGTTAGACGCGTGCTCGACATTGTTGCCTGCACGACAAGCTTCGGAGCGTCGTCTTTGCCGGCGAAGGACCAAAGATCGAAGCTCGATGCTTCTTCAACTGGCTCCGGCAAAAATGCTCCGGTTGCGCAGGATAAGATCTCCAAGAAATCCAACGCCACGACCGCCGCCGCCGTCAACGCCTCCAAGTCTCAAGTTCCTACCGGAACCGATAAGCGAGACGTGGCGGGGGACTCGGAGACCGAGATGAGCCACTCCTGCCTCAAGCTTGGTTCTTTCTACGACTTCTTCTCTCTCTCCCACCTCACTCCCCCTTTGCAATGTACTTTCTCTCCTCCCTCCCTCTCTACTACGTGTATACGTATGTACGTATTTATCTGTGTATTTGGAAGCAGAATTTTGAATTTTTGAAAAATTGAGTGTAAATGCTTATGAATTTTGCAGTTATTCGAAGGGCGGCGAAACGGCAAGTCGATGAGATTGCGGCGGATGATCACATTTTTTCTCTAGAAGTAAGACCTTCGTCTGCACAATCCACACGCACCCAAAGACAATTTATTTATCTATTTTTGGGTCTGATCATCGAAATACATTGTGTATATTGGCAATTTTTCAGGTGAAGCTTTGCAATGGGAAGGTGCTTCTTGTTGAAGCTTGCCGAAAGGGGTTTTATAGCATAGGGAAGCAGCGGGTTCTCTGTCACAACCTCGTCGATTTGCTACGGCAGCTTAGTAGAGCCTTCGACAATGTTAGTAAAGCATTTGAGTTTCTGTAGTGATTTGCATTTATTCTATTTCTAACTTTTCATTTGTGTATTGAATATGTGTATATTTAATTTCTCATATTTCAGGCTTATGATGAGCTCTTGAAAGCATTTGCAGAACGGAATAAGGTATGGGATCATTCATTATGCTTTCTTTTATGAGTCTTTGTGTTATTATTTCTGTATTTTGTAATTGATTTTCTTTGATATTTTGCAGTTTGGGAACCTTCCTTATGGGTTTAGAGCAAACACGTGGCTCGTACCCCCTGTTTCAGCGCAGTCACCATCAGTTTTCCCTGCTCTCCCCGTGGAGGATGAAACTTGGGGTGGAAATGGTGGTGGTCTAGGAAGAGATGGGAAATTTGATCTGATCCCTTGGGCTAATGAGTTTTGGCATATTGCATCCATGCCTTGCAAGACAGCCGAGGAGAGGCAGATTCGTGATAGGAAAGCATTCCTTCTTCACAGCCTATTCGTCGATGTTTCCATTTTTAGAGCCATTAAGGCTGTGCAGCATGTAATGGGAAAACCGGAATTGACTTGTTCAGTTCCAAACAGTGAGATTCTTTACTCCAAGAGTGTAGGGGACTTGAATGTCACAGTTATGAAAGATGTTTCTAATGCAAGCTGTAAGGTAGATACTAAAATTGATGGAATTCAAGCAACTGGAGTGGACGAAGCGAATCTAGCGCAACGAAACCTTCTGAAAGGGATCACCGCAGATGAAAATACTGCTGCCCACGTAAGTTATTTCTGAGATAGTGTTGTTGATCAATAATCTTTGTCTCTACCAAATGCGATTTATTTTGTAACTTTGGTGCGGTTGAGGTCATTCTTGCTAAATATTGTGTGCAGGATGTCAACACTCTAGGTGTTGTCAATGTCAGATACTGTGGTTACATTGCAGTTGTCAAGGTTGAGGGGAAAGAAAATAAGAAAGTTGGTTCTCCATCTCAGAGCATTGAATTTGTTGATCAACCCGAAGGTGGTGCCAATGCCCTTAATATCAACAGGTACGCAATAATGTGTCAGTAAGTATTATGTAAAGCTACCAACATGGAGTTTTCAGTGTAAGAGCCCAATAATGTGTCAGTGAGTATTATGTAAAGCTACCAACCTTTTGTCATGGAGTTTTGAGTATAAGAGCCTAACTAGTATCTTGTTTTTTGCAGTTTAAGATTACTACTTCACAAGACAATACCTTCAGAGCAGAATAAACCGGCATCACATATGCAAACTCTGGAACACGAAGATCTTTCAGCCTCATGTGTTTTTGTTGAGGGGGTGTTAGAAGAAAGTCTTGCTAAGCTTGAGAAAGAGGAGCTAGATTCTGATAATTTTGTGAGATGGGAACTTGGAGCTTGCTGGATACAACACTTGCAAGACCAAAAAAATGCAGACAAAGATAAGAAACCGTCAAACGAGAAGGCTAAAAATGAGTTGAAGGTTGAGGGACTTGGGACACCTCTTAAATCTCTTAAGAACAGCAAGAAAAAATCAGATGGAGGCAATACCAAGCTGCAATCTGAAAGCTCAAAGTCTCATGTAGATGGTGTTGTTGCGGAAGTTGAAAATAGTATATCCCCTTCTGTGGAATCAAAGCTTGAGACTAATGCCAAAGAATGAGCTTGTGTTGACAGAGATATTGTCTGATGCTGCCTTTGCTCGACTAAAAGATTCAGAAACTGGACTTCACTGCAAGGTAATACATTATAGGTGTCACTAGAGGCTTTAGAATTTATTTATTTGTACTACACATTGTGTACTAATGTATTGTGTGCTTGACAGTCTCTGCAAGAACTGATCGACTTGTCTCAGAAGTATTACTCTGAAGTTGCTCTTCCCAAACTGGTAAACATTTTTTTTCTTAAAGCTTGTTATCTTTTTGCATGGAAGTAATGTTTGGTGATTCTTCTTTCTATAAAATATTCGTATAATGCAGGTAGCAGATTTTGGTTCCTTGGAACTTTCACCGGTTGATGGTCGGACCTTGACTGATTTCATGCATACTAGAGGTCTTCGGATGCGCTCTCTGGGGAATGTTGTAAGTGTGCTTCTAACTTAGGGTTTTCATTTTTAATACATGTCTCATATTACTCATCTACCTAAGAATCAATTTCTTTTGTGTCCTCAGTTTTGCTTGGTGTTTATGTCCCTTCTGAACTTCATTAACTATACTCTGTAGTCAGATTTGTGGTTGTAGTTTGTTTACGTGGCTTTGATGTAATAGAAGAAATAAAAAAGAACAAAAATCATGGCAATTTTCAGAATATCTCGAGCTAGCCCTCCCTTTATTATGCACTGGTGACCGTTAGACAGTGTTAACCAGTCACGTTATTATAAGGCATCAAAGCTCTAATCTTCTTTAAGCATTTCACTAATAGAAAACATTAACTTGCATTGCCTCTCATCTCCAAACTGAAACTCATAAGAAAATTTTGAAATGCTATATGTAGATGATATGTGGAATGCTGCTTAAATAGGTTATCATATTGAACGAAATGACTTTTATTTCTTTATAGGTCAAGCTTTCGGAGAAGCTATCCCATGTGCAGTCCCTTTGCATTCATGAGATGATAGTGCGAGCTTTTAAGCACATACTTCAGGCAGTGATTGCTGCCGTTGGTAACACTGAGAAAATGGCTGTTTCAATTGCTGCTGCATTAAATCTTATGCTGGGGGTTTCTGATAATGAAGAATTAAATAAGTCTTGCAATGTTCATTCTCTTGTGTGGAAATGGCTGGAGGTATTCTTGCGAAAGAGATATGGATGGGATATTAACAGCTTCAACTATGACGATGTGAGGAGATTTGCGATTCTACGTGGATTATGTCACAAGGTATATATCATGACACCGCATATTAGATTCTGGAGATGGCCCACATTCTTGAATTCTGACTTCGTAATTTTACACTGTATTTTTAAGTTTACACTGACATTTTGCTTTCTCTTCCCCCTATCCCCCACCCCCCAAATTTAGGTGGGTATTGAGATGGTTCCAAGGGATTTTGATGTGGATTCTCCAAGTCCGTTCCAAAGTTCAGATATTGTCAGCCTAGTCCCAGTGCATAAGGTGACGACTGGACATAAAACATTAGAAGCATCTGTTTTCCTTTCTTTCGATTTTTAGAAGGGATAAGAGTGATTGCCCATCTTTAGTAATTTAACCTTTTCTTTTACTTTTTTCAGCAAGCTGCTTGCTCTTCGGCAGATGGTAGGCAACTCCTAGAATCATCAAAAACAGCTTTAGATAAGGGAAAACTTGAAGATGCAGTTGCATTTGGCACTAAGGTACGCAGACTGGTGCTGGAAGGTTTTCTTTCACCTTTTTATATTAATATTCTAGTTGGTTACCGGCTGTACTTTGCCATTTGCAGGCTCTTGCAAAGCTGGTAGCAGTTTGTGGTCCCTACCATCGAATGACAGCAGGAGCTTACAGCCTCCTTGCTGTAGTTTTATATCACACTGGAGACTTCAATCAGGTCTGTTCCTATCCCTTTTGTTTCAGTGTTTCTGGGACATATATAACTGTTACTTTCTGGGTCAAACAGATTTTAAATTGGGGGATCGGCTACATATGGTTTCATATTTTTATTGTTGAAGGTGGAACGGAATGTGCAGAAGTGTGCAAAATATAGAAAGTTTGTCTTTCATTTTGTAAAGGTTTTATGTCGTGGATGACCAATGATGTGTTCCCATTACAGGCTACAATTTATCAGCAAAAGGCCCTGGATATCAACGAGAGAGAATTAGGGCTTGACCATCCAGACACCATGAAGAGTTATGGGGATCTTGCTGTGTTCTATTACAGACTTCAACATACGGAGCTGGCTCTCAAGTATGCTTTTTTCTTGTTCAAAAGTGATCCCGATGTATATAACATCACAGTTTATGTGTTTAGGGGAATAATTTTCAAAGTGATGATGTGAATGGGTTGCTCTCTCGATCTTGTGGATGCAAGCTGCTTGCCATTTTTGTTTCACAGATCGAACCTATGGGGCTAGTTATGGGGGCAGATAACCTGCTGTCCCTTTTCTTGTTCATCGTTGATGTATTTCCATTTAAAGGCATAGAAACAGGGTGATAAATTAGTCATGAGTCATAGCTGCATGCTGCATAGTCTGTTCATTCATTAGTATACGCGTTATTTTTTACATTCCTCACAAGTACAAGCTCACAATTTCTGCTGTTCAGGTATGTAAAGCGTGCTCTGTATCTTTTGCATCTCACATGTGGACCATCTCATCCAAACACTGCTGCAACATACATCAATGTGGCTATGATGGAGGAAGGCCTGGGAAATGTGCATGTTGCCCTTCGATATCTACACAAAGCCTTGAAGTGTAATCAAAGGTTACTCGGCCCGGACCATATTCAGGTTGTGTATTCATTCATTTAGTTGTTGTTTAATTTATTTATGTCCTAAAGCTTATAAGCTATCACAATATTCGAGGTCAGATGCTGCGGTAATTAAACAGTTAGCGCAAAAAATGAGGACTCAGTTTTTAACAAGTAAACAACCAGTGAAACTTCATGTCTTAACACCTTCACAGATGTACTGCTGGAAATTTGATTTAATATGGTAAACTGTAAATTGTTTATTTTGTATATTTGAGAATTTAACCATTTTAATGTTAAATCTCTCCAGACAGCAGCAAGTTACCACGCTATTGCAATTGCTCTCTCTTTGATGGAAGCTTACCCTTTAAGTGTTCAGCATGAGCAGACAACTTTGCAAATTCTACGAGCAAAGCTTGGCCCAGATGACTTACGGACACAAGTATACCCTCCTCTTGGTTTAGCCCATCCTTTCTCTTAAAACTCTTCTACCTCCTCGAGGATTAACCATTCAAAAATGTTTTACCAAACACTGCAGGATGCTGCTGCTTGGCTTGAGTACTTTGAGTCCAAGGCTTTCGAACAGCAAGAAGCTGCAAGAAATGGGACTCGAAAGCCTGATGCATCTATTGCCAGCAAAGGCCACTTAAGGTTTGATAGCATTGTTAACGTTAATATGGATTGCTGAAGTTATAATGTACTTTCTGCTCCTGTTTTTATGCTTAACCACACGGCTGTAATTTTCATTTACCTATGCACTTGAATTGTTGATTTGGAAGTGTAAAAATGAGGATTTGATGGTAAGAGGTGACCCATTTCCATGCCTGCATGCCACTTCGAGAAACTTGCCTTGATATTGAATTTATTCCTTTTGAATTTTCCGGTCGGGAGACAATTACTCTGGCTAAGATGAATTAGTGGATCCTTTACATGCATTGCCACTACTGACTTCTTGCCTTAAATCCTTTCTAATACCATATTGTTCTAAACTTGGCAGTGTATCAGATTTGCTTGACTACATTAGTCCAGCTCATGGTGCCAAAGGGAGAGAGGTGGCAGGAAAGAGGAAAAGCTACTTAACAAAGGTACGTTTGGAGTTCAGACCCATTTTCTTTTGTGGTTTTGTTTGCCATTTCTTTTATCTTTTTTCCAGTTTCTGTTATTTCTTCCCTTCTTGAAAAATAGAGTTTTCGTCGTGGTTATGGGTTCAACCCATCCTTAGTTCATATGAAATCTGGGCTCTTAACAAATGTAAGTAGAAATATCCAAATTGTTGTTGTTGGAAAATTGGTTACTCTTGGAACTGATAGAAGCCTTTATTAAAATGGATAAACCCCAACAAAACCTGCTTGCGTGCAAGGTCTTCATCATTGGTAACAAGCTGAAGCACACCTACTGGGAAAAAAAATTATTAATTCAACTTTGAACCGAATAAGAATTATCCCGCCCCCATTTTGACCATTTTGCGTGAGCTTTCAAGGAACATTTCTAGTGTTCAGATAGAGATACCATGCCCTGCTAGAAGACACACTTTCTTTACACTCCCTATTCTCATTGTCATGCACATGAGCAAACTATTTCAAATTTTTGTGCAGTTGAAGGAAAAATCCATCCAAACTATCAGTTCAGCTAGTTCTGATGAGTCTTCAAAAGAAACCACAAAAGAGGGTTCGGACGAAGAGGGTCAGGAGACGAATGTACTTGAACCAATTGATAGAACAGATGTTATCCAGGAGAGCAGACCTCCTCTGGTTGAACCTCAGCACGTCGTGGAAGAGAATGCAGAGGAAAATTCAAATGTTTTCGATCAGATATCTTCTGAAACATATATCGAAGGTGGTGATGATGGGTGGCAATCAGTTCAAAGACCTAGATCAGCTGGCTCATATGGGCGGCGTCTAAAGCAGCGGCGGGCAACTATTGGGAAGGTCTATAATTACCAGAAGAAGTATGTTGAAAGTGACGTGGACTATTCTTCAGTGAAGAATATTAATCAAAACAGTAGTTATTATCTTGTAAAGAAAAGGCCAACATCTCACGGAAGTTATGCAGACAATCATACTGCAAAACCCTCCCAAGGTACTAAGTTTGGACGGAGAATAGTTAAAGGTGTAACATACAGAGTTAAGTCTATGCCTTCGTCTACCAAAGTAGATACCGAAGAGCCCTCTAACGGTGGCAAAATTTTGAGTTCTCCATCAGAATCTATTCAAAACGCTTCACCACATGGAATTGGCCCAGTAAAAAATTCCGTAGTCAGTCTTGGGAAGTCTCCTTCTTACAAGGAAGTAGCATTGGCTCCACCAGGTACTATTGGGAAATTTCAAACCCAGTACAACATTCCAGATAATCAGGAACATGGTGTCCGAGTTCATGAGGAAGAAACAACTGAAGTCAAAGGAGATTCCAAACCAAACACAACTGAGTTAGGAAATGTACTTGAAGAAAAGGACTCTGTGTTGGACTCTGTATTGGTTACGACAGACCACATACCAGACGAAACCGGAGCTGCTGAGAAGAAAGGAGAAGTTATTTCAAACGATTCAAAGGAAGATAAGTCTTCACTGATGGTATTAGAGAGTTTGGATGGACACGGATCCAGCGGTGTTAAGATTGATGAAGTGGTAGAAGATAACTTGTTGACAGACGGAGTGCCAAAATCTTTGGGTTCTCCCAAGGGATGTGAGACGGATCCATCTGGTACTTGTGAACTGCATGACTCCAACTCTACCATGCAAGGTGTAGACGATGCTGTGAGTTCAGTTGATACTCGGGGACTGCCCAGTAAGAAGCTATCTGCCTCAGCAGCTCCATTCAATCCCTCACCACCTGCTGCACGTGCTGCTCCGGTTTCCATGAACATTGCAATACCTTCGGGTGCGGGTAATGTCCCAACTGTTGCACCTTGGCCAGTAAACATGAATCTTCATCCAGGGCCCGGTACTGTCTTACCCACGGTCAATCCAATGTGCTCCTCCCCTCACCACCCATACCATTCTCCTCCTGCGACCCCAAACATCATACAACCATTGCCTTTTATGTACCCTCCTTACAGTCAACCCCAAGTAATCCGAACCAGTGCCTTTCCCATTACTAGCAGCGGGTTTCATCCAAATCATTTTGCATGGCAAAATGTGAACCCCCATGTTCCCGAGTTTGTTCATAGTCCAGTTTGGCCTGGTTGTCATCCAATGGATTTCTCTGCCCCTACACCTGTTGCTGAGCCAATTTCTGAACCGACAGTGGAGCCAAAATTTCACAATGATGATTCTGCTCCAGTTCTGCCAGCGGACATTGACAATTTGGAGGAAACTAAGCAAGAAGTGAACCTTCTGACGTCAGAGGCAATGAGCAATGCAGTTGAAAGTGTAAAGGAAAATGGTCCTTCAAACCTTTGCAGGGTTGAACTTGCTCAGAGCGAACCAACTGACAACCCAAATGGAAATGCTGCAAGTAGCGGTGAACGAACAAACGATGGAGAGAAAACCTTCAGCATTTTGTTGAGGGGTAGGAGAAACAGAAAGCAGACTCTGCGAATGCCAATCAGTTTGCTCAGTCGACCGTATGGCTCACAGTCCTTCAAAGTCATATGTAACAGAGTAGTCAGAGGGAATGATGCTACCAAAGCCACCAGCTTTTCATCAAGTGAAAATTGCACAGCTACTGCTACTTAACGCCAATTTGCTTTTGCTACCGATCAGGGCAGCCGGATTTTCTAGAAAAAAGCTGGATTCCTGACAAGAATCACTTGATCTTTTGTGGCTCTTTTGTTAACAAAGCACGTTAGTTTCTGCTTACACATGGTCCTCAAAAAATGAATTCAGGTTAGTGGTCTGGCTATACAATCTTCTAACAATTTATAGTTCTTTCTTCGTGAAATATGCATATATAGATACGACCCTTTAATAAAAATAGAACTTGGGAAACACTAAAATGGACGATATGCCGTATATATAACATGGTTTAGTGCCTCTTTATTGTCTATCGAGTGTGCTTCCAGTTCTATTTTTTGGTTAAAAGTTCATAACCGGTTCCATTTGTTCGTATTTCCTTTTCGTCTTCTGTCTTGTTAGTATTTTGTAGGCAAGGTAAGCTTGTCTTCTCACTGAACGTATACATTTGTGCAACTGTGGATGTGCAGGTTTGCAGTAGGAAGCTTATGTTTTGCGACTTGTGTGGGAAGGGTTTTTATGGGGTGACAATTTTGGTTCATCACATATGAGAAATTTTGTTATTTTTGGATTATCGGACCACAGCATTCAGAATCAAAACTGATACCAGTTCTTATTTTGGCTACAATAAATGGGATTTTGATTTTTAATTTGGATAAATTGTATATGACCTAATTATGATTTCTTTTTCTTCATTTCCTTATCTAATTTTAGATGAGTATTAACTTTATTAACATGGGATATTTTGTTGTTTTTACAATAATGTAGTGAAACCACCGTCAAAGTTCAGATTTTTTTATTTTATTTCATTTTATTTTTTAATATAATTTTTTCACCATGCCTTGTTTGATTCAATTCAGGTAACAAATCTTTTCTCTGGAAAGATTGATGTTATTGTTTGTGTCATCTTTTCGGTTCAAAGTTTTTTATAATTCGGGTTTAAACACTAAAAAATAATCTAAATTTTAAATCTAAATATTTTTATAAATACGGGTACATTAAACTCTCTTCAAAGTGAGCTTATCAGAAGCTCATTTTATACTAGGTCTAATCGGATAAATGGGATTTTGGTTTGACGTGTGCACCTTCTTCCTCGTCTACGTGTGTTTCCAAGCACCACCATTGAACAACCAATCAGCTCTGAAAACCCATTTCGTCTTCCTCCCAACTCAATCCGCCTCCGGCACTGCTTCGTCATAGAGAGTGCCTATAACTGGCTATGGGATTTAGCAGTGAAGGAGTTGAATATGTAGACGAATTATTTGACGAAAGTCCCAACTAGATTTTAGTCACCGGACCATACGCTAAGCGAATCAAATCCTTCTTGGCAAGATCTTGAATGAGAAGATAACCCATTATTTTGATGGCATTTTCTGGGTATAACGATTTGATCTCCGACAAGAGTTTCATAGGGTTCCATGGCATTTTTTCTCTCAAAAGGAAAAGGAGTGAGAAAATTGGTTTTAGAGTAGGGTTTGAAGTGTTTCAGTAGAGAGCGTAAAGTCTCTCTGTTTTTATGTCTTTTTTTTTTGTGTCGAATATATATTAATTTTTTATGGGAGTGGGAGGAGTGTCGGAGGCAGATTGAGCTGGGAGGAAGACGTCGGTGGGGTTCTCAGAGCTTATTGGTTGTGAACCGCATGGACAGGAAGAAGAAGGTGCACATGTCAAAGTATTTTTTTACCCTCTATTTAAAGGACAATTAACGAAAAAATAACTTTTAGATTAAGTTTGCCAACGGACTAAACCACGGAGCTATCTTCCGATCAACCTAGTACCACGAGCCCCTAAAATGATGAAACATTCAAAATCCCAAAAGAGTCAATTATCACACGTGTGCGCGTGTGGCAAGATGCTAGTATCTATGAAAAGTAAAGCTATCTGACTGTATCCTATTAAATTAGTTTACTCCAACACCTCAAATCAAAATACAATAAAACTATAAGGTATGATAGGAATCATCAATACTTTGATGCAAAATATCAAAGCCATTTCATTATATAGCCACATTTCATACCTTTTTTTTTTTTATGTTTGAGTGACTTCTTTCTCATGTAATTCCCATGAGAGATATTTTTAAGTGTACAAAAATAAAACTGGTATCTAATTACACTAACACAAAATTCCCTCAAGTTTGAGAAATTAAATGAACGCTTATTGAAATTTAATTCATGTTCACATCATTCCTTAAAGATGAGTTTACGCTTATAATAAAGTACTTAAAAAAATAAAAAATCCTTTATAAATAAATATAAAATTTACCAAACGTAGGAAATGTAACATTTCCAATTCCCAAACCTAGTTCCCGCAGGTTGCACCTTAGCTAGGACCTCAAACTTATAAGCCAATAATTACATCACATTAATCGCTTATGTTATGGCTTAGAGTTTAGGTCGCAAAGTCAAACGCCCAATATTGCCCTTCTCATATTGATGTTTTCATGGATACCAATGTGAATCAGATCATAATATTAGGTAGATGTGATAAAAAAAGTATATCGTTCTTATTCTAGCGCAACAATATACTCTACAGATGTTAGAGGAGATGATCGCACATTGGTCATATGATAAAATAATATTCAGTTAATATATGAGAGGCGTTTCCACCTCTAATATCATTGAAACTTTTTACGATAAAACCCAACAGCTAGTAACATGTGGTTAAGTTAGAATAATATTGATGATATTGATGGTGGATCATGCTAAAAAACACTTCCAACTTTTCTCTTAGCTTTTACCATGCACCTCAATTGTACGTACATATTATACATGTATTTGTCATTCATATATATCAAAAAATACGCGTAGCTATTTCATACAATTTTTTTTTTTGCATTCTGTATTTTACTCACTGTGATATCATGCATTACAAAAGACGAAGAAAAGAAAAGGAAGAAAAACGAGAGAGAAACCTCTTAGAGAACTTGAATCTTTCTTGCTGCCTATTGGATTGGATTCATTTGGAAGTTTGGAGTAATATCATCCTTCTCTGTTCTTCTCATCCTTGCCAATACTTCTAACAGAATTACTGAGACAAGAATTACGCCGAGAAGAAATCCGTAACCAATCTTCCAGTCATTTCCTTCACCTCCAATCTTGATCCCCAGAACTATGTTCACAGCTGCAAAGAAGACTGCAAACCTGCCAAGCCAGTGGTGGTACCAATTCCAGTACTTTCTAATGTTCTTGGCATCCTTGTTGGGTCTTAGAAAAAATGCCAATATCTGAAAATTACCTCTAATCAGAAACTCAGAAATATCAAATTACAATTCCTTTGTGGAACATGATATATTTTTAACGCGTAATGAATTGATTGTAGTGCTACTTAGATACACAAACTTGATACATTTGTTGACAGATTCTCTAAAATATATGGGTCTCACGTGGAACAGTATTTTTTTTGGGTCAATTCACGTGTAATGATAGGACCCGCCTCTGTAGGAGAATGTGTCAACATGTGTACTAGTTTTGTGCGTCTGAATCGTATTATTGTAATAGATTTAGTGGTGAGGGACAAACCTGAAGGATGCTAAGTACAAGAACAAAAATTCCTATGCCTCTATGCGTTGGAAAGTTGGCTCCTATTTTAGTATAGAGTTGCTGGCCAAGTACCACAGCTGCAAGCCCAATCACAAATCCAACAAATTGAATAATTGAATGGAGATAGTACCACAAAGGTTCCTTGTGCTTCAAGTATCTTGGCACAATTGCCCCAATAGGAATTATTAGACCCCATCCAAATATAGCCAATATTCCATGGTTCTTCTTCATTTGCCCAATATCACTAGGTGCCTCTCGCACAGATGCGGAGCCTGCAGAGAAATCGAACATGACGGTTGTTTTATCGTTGTGTTTGGTTAGGTGGTGGTGCTTGGGGTAACCGCTTCCGATAGCCAAGATGATTGGCTGACGAGCAAGACGAGCTTGGAATTTCATCTGAAAAGCCAAGTAAATTCTAGGTCCATGAAGCACAACAGAAGCAGGAATGCCAGTGAGTGGCAATTCACCTTTGTCTGGGATGACTAGTGACACCTTGGAGCCTTGCAAATAGTATTGCTTAATTCTTGCTTCGCCTTTTCTGTTAATCCATCCCACTATTGCACTTGAACCAACCATCATTCCATCTTTGGAAAATCCTATTCCTACCCATCCTGTAGTGTATACAGCGGATAATATAATGTTCACGACGTGATCTTCTGTCTGAGAGTACTGCAACAACCAAAAAAATGAAAGAAATAGCTAGCTAAATTTAATTATACGTTTGCAAATATAGTTTAGAAACGTATAATGATTTCCGCACAAGTCTTTTCTTCCCGTGCACCTTTGTTTATTCTAACATTCGAATTGAATAAATTAAATAAGAATTGAAGGACAAAAATGAACAGGAGTGTGCAGAAAGAGAGCAGGCGTGCATAAATTATTTCTCTATAGAACCAACTTAACAATGAAATCAAGATTGAGTACAAACTTACTCTCAAAACAAAAGTGTTCCAAATAGGTCTGCAGACTAGATCAGATGATGAATTACTATATGGTGGTAGCATAAAACTGCTCAGATCATTGTCACAAGGCTCCGATGCATCATTGCCCCCACCAGCGCTATTAACCCCCGGAACATAACTGCCATCAGCAGCCATAACATCAAACTTGGCCTCCAAGACAAGGGTCAGAATACATAGCCTGAAAGCAAACCTCGAAGCAAAAACCGACCAAGACCCCAAGCTCGCCATTGGAAAGATCAAGAACTAGGAATGCGATCCAAGGCTAGAACAGGCAGTGACAATACCATGGACGATGTAAGTTGTGAAAGAGAAGGCGCATTCAGGAGGTTGGTAGGTTTTAGTCTCTTGGGTTTGAAGGAAAATGGAAAGTGGTTGGTGGTGGTGGGGATGCTGGTTGGTGTTGGCAGATGTTTACAGTGGTTTAATTCTAACCAAATTTTTAGGACATTATCTCTTAGTAATAACCATTTCTTCCAATTCTTGCAAACTAAACAACCCCCACCACCACCCCCACACTCACACACGCAATAATATTTTGTTGGGTTGGACTTCATTATATTGCAAATAGTATGTCATTATATTGCAAGTAGCATGTCATTAAATTGCAAATAGTATGTAAGTATATTGCATATAGTATGTCAAGCCACTAGTAGTGAGGTTGGGAAGGGTGATGGACGGAGGAGTATACTAAGTTCAGGACTCTCGGAACCCTCTAATGTAACAAAAAAAAGTACCATTTTGTTTACGGTAAATGGGGGTAAGTGTCTTCGCCCATGAACGGTAGGTCTGGGGTTCGAGACTTGGGAGCAGCCTCTCCATAAATGGGGGTAAGGCTAGCCGACATTCACCTCTCCCAGACCCTGCGTAAAGCGGGAGCCTTGTGCACTGGGTACAACGACCTTTTTTGTTTACGGTAGAAGTTATAACAAGCAACGAGAGAGGGCGGAATAGTGGGTTAAAATTAGGATGATCAAATATTCGATTGCCTCCCATGTAATTAAAAAATACAATTTTATTACTTGGATGTTAGACAAAAACATATATGAGAATTTGTAAACTATATATGATGGTTGGATATGAATGAGATGAAACTTTGAAGTCGACTTCTTGTGTATTACAAGATACCATAATTAAGGGCCTATAATTGCATTCAAAAGCTTCTCACGCCCTAAACCAAATATAATAGGCACAACTACACCATAAGTGCAAAACGGGTAAAGAAGTTCACTTGATGTACAATGATTATTGATGAGCTTTTAAGCAATGCAAAGAATTAGATGCTTCATACAAAAAGTAGAGTCAACAACTTGATCGCTAGATCTATTGGGCTGTTTTTTGCTACATGATGACAAATAATAGTTACTTTTTCGTAGTCAGGTAGCGGCCCTCTAACCGATTATATATCCTTTGTTATCTCTTTTAATACGTGAAAAAGATATAGAACCGAGATGACTAAGATTCTCCCATAAATTTCAGGCAGCTTTCAAATGCAAAGTTCCTTGCTAGAACCTGCACACCGAGGCAACAATTGAGGGGGTGCCCCCCAGTATCGGCCATGAACGAACACATCCAAAGTCTCCACCCTGCTCATTCATGATGGGACGCTATCAAGGACAGGCCTCTAAGGCCCACTGGGGGCAGCTGCCTACATTGAAGTTTTGTGTAGAGGAAAAACAATCACGAAACTTACAGAACTTAAATTTATCATATTTAAGTACTTTAAGTGATTAGTTGAAATTTTAAATAATATGTACAAAATGCTATTATTGTGAAAAAAATGTCTACAAGTTGGCTTAATGAAATTTGAGAAGGAAAAGAAAAGCAATGAAATTATAGAAGAAACTCTACTATCATGATTTTTTTTTCCCTCAAGTATAACTAGAGGTTAAGGTCGCCCCACCTAAAGAAAGTTTTTAACTGCATCCTTAGATACAGTGACATTTTTAACCTTGATATCACTGATCACTGCACAGATTTGTTTGGAGAGTTATAAATTAAAAAGATATTCTCATCATTCTTCTCCCCTTTGCAAGTTTGATAGCGAAAGAAAACATGAAAAGTGATTTAGCCGTTAGCCAGGCACCCTAAAGATATGGTCCTCACCACTCTTCTCATCAACCTTGACAACCCATTTACTCTTACCACTCCCCTTACTTCCTCCACGCCAATATCCCTTGCCAACCTCAGTGTTCTTCCCAATCACGGTGACCTCCATTCCTTTCCCGATGGAATTCTTCGTAGACCTCACCGGAGCCCTCTTTTCCATCACTCCCAATGCCCTTCCAACCCCTTTCTTTCACCAACCAAGTTATTAGCCACAACCACTGATTTTCTAGGGTTAACATCTAGCAACTTCAGCAGCCTTGTGTAATCATCATTCTTGCAATCAACCACAGAGAAATCAATGTTCTTGTAATTCGACAACAGCTCAGAAGGGTCACTGGTCTTGAACTCCACCAAGTCTTTAAGGCCTAAGTCTCTGATTACTTTCTTTGATTCATTGAGGACTGGCTCGGGAAGAATGCAAACCAGTTTTCCTCCTGTGTGTTTTGCAGCAACTGCTAAGGCTATCGTTGATGGCGAAACTGTCGAGGTCACCTCCACTATGAGTTTGGCTTTCATGCCGGCAGCCAAAGCTGAAACAAATTCATTGCTGCCTGGCTCTTGTGTTTTCCATGAGACACATTGTCTCCCACGGTCATTGCACTGCAGAAATGAATACGAATTGGAGTTAGCACATTGGAAACATTGTCTTACATCCTTCTTTAAGCCCTTGAACAACACAAGAAAAAGGTACAAAATTGAAAAATGAGGGCAGTATATATGAAAATTGTTGTTTTATTTGACTTCGCCACATGTTGCATGTCAAACTATCACCCTAGACAATTGATGAAGTAACCCTTTAGCAGTATGAGAATTTAACATGCAAAATATATCGTTTTACTAAAAGAAGTCAAACTATCAATGTAGACAATTGATGAAGTAACATTTGAGCAGAGAATTTAACATGCAAAATATATCGCTTTACTGAAAGAAAAGAAAAAATGTCAAACATCTCACACGATTTTAAGTCCCATTTCTGTCATGATATTTAAAGGCAATAAAACCCTAAGAAACACAAATGTTTTTTCATAGTTACGCCCACTTCCGAAAACTATGAACTAAGAAACCCAAAGGACCAGTTGAATCAATAATTGATTCCAACTCTTAAACAAATTGGAGGAAAACACAACAGAGAAATTTACAAAGAAAGAAAGAAAGAGGGAACAAGAAAAGTACATACCAGTTTTAGGGTATCAAAATAAGCTTTTGTAGCAGATTCTGCAGACCATTCCATCACCCTCATAGCCCCCATGATCTGATTATTATAACTTGGTCCAGGACAAGAATTAAATCGTTTATCGTAGCCCTGGATTTGTGTGTTCTACGGTTGATGTATATACTCAAGGCCCTTTATGCAAAGGGATTCTCATTTTTTGAAAAAAATTGGGATTAGGTGTGGCGCCCACTCCATATCGAATTTCAACAATCCGAACCGTTTATTTTGTTAGTCTCGATTCATAGATCATTCTTGCAAAAATTCAATTCAATCCGAAACCATTTGCCTATTTAATTATCAAGATCAATTTTGTTTTTTTTATATATATATAACAAAATATTCGTTTATTTCTTTGAATCCAATTATATGTCTTAAATATTTCCGATTTGGCTAATATGTTGCAAGGATGATCTATAAAGTCTACTTGAAAAATAGACGGTTCGGATCGTTAAAGTTCGATGTAGTATGGAACCCACAACTAATTCCCATTTTTATATAAAAAAATAAAGATCCCTTCCCTTAAAGACTTTATGTATATACTTGTCTTTTCTTTTGTTTGTTTGGTTTTTGTTTTGTTGGTGACGATATGCGGGAAATCATTTGCCTATAATTGGGAAACTCATGGTTTGATTCTTATTTGGGTACACACTAAAAACTTCTTGTGAACTTACTCGGATCAATATGTTTAATTATTGTGTAGAAACCTTCCAACGGTGGAGGTAATGAAGTAGAGCAAAGTCTCATTTTCATTTTTTGTATTAATCAACAATGTCGTTTATGAGATTTGATTCACGACCTTTACAAATCACATTAGTATGGGCTTCTTTTTTTTTAAAAAAAAAAAAATGAATGAGTTATATAATATCATTGAAATGAAACAATTACAAAATAACTTGTAAATGTTGTGAACTAAATTACATATGAAATTGGGTGTGAGAGAGAGGGGACGATAGGAAGAGAGAAAGGCTCAGGTGTATAAGAATTTTATATTCACCTCCAAACCTTGTATCCTTATTTATATTAATCATGATGGGCTTACTTACCTTACATGAAATACAAAGCGTATGAGGATTTGATCTCCAAATCCTATTGGGATTCTACTTTAAGTTTACATAATCACATTCTTAATTAATAATATTATTTACAACACCCTTCCTTGAGTGTGTACAACTTAAGAAGTAGTTGCATTAAGTTTTCATGAATAACATGGGTACGACCAACCCAAAGTAGGTGCCTTGTCAAAACCTCATCTGGATAGCAAAAACCTAGTAGAAAAAATGCTCATGTTTGTAGGGGAAAAAGTGCAATAAGGTCATGTGAATATGCTTTAGGAACTCCCCCTAAGTTTAATAAAACTCCCCAAGAGAGTACCAGTGATGCAAATCTAAAAGCTTATGCAATCCAACTCCTTGAACAAGTTTATGAAAAGTAGACTTTGACAGCGACTTCATGAATAAGTCAACAAGGTTGTCCTGGGATCATATTTTCTTGACTTCGATCTTCTGATGCTCTCGTTGTTAATGAGTGAAGAAAAACTTCAAGGTAATATGCTTGATATTGTCGCCTTTGATGTGTCCTTTCTTTAACTTGTCGATACATGCAACGTTGTCTTCATGAATTGTTGTAGGAACATCAACGATGGAAGAAAAACCACATGAGGTTCTTAGGTGATTAATCACACCCCTCAACCAGAAGCATTCATGCGGTGCTTCATGTAGGGTGGGAACCTCAACGTGATTTGAAAACGTAGCAACCAACTATTGTTTGGTTGATCTCTAAGATACTGCAGTATATCCAATGCTACAGACATAACTCGTTTGAGGATGAGCCTTGTGCGGGTCGGATAAATAACCAACGTTAATATATCCAACAAGGCGGATATTATTCCGAGGACCAAGAGGGTTGGATCCGCTCGGTGATGTGTATGGACAGAATAAGTTTATATCCATTGTACCCTTAGGGTGCGTTTGTTGCACGAGACTATTTTGGACTGGATTGGCTTGGCTTGGACTAAGCAGGATAAAAACAGTGAAGTGTTTGGTGCAGTACCGGACTAAATCACGGACTAAATTATTATTGGAATTCAAATATTTTTTTTTGTCAATTTTTAATTTATCTTGTTGATATTTTATTATCATCATTCTATGCTTTTTTATTTGGCTCACTCTCTCTCCCGTCTCTCTGCCCTTCTTTTCTTTTCATCCCCGTCTACTTCGCACCGCCCAGAACTTTTCTTCTTCTTTTCATTTCATTTCCTATCAACAATTTAGGAAATTATGAATATGTACTTCAACCCATAATCCAAATATTGTACCCAATTTCTCCAATATCAGTTACAATGAAAAATTCAAATCAAACCCAGAAAAATTCCAAATTGTTTTTTTTTTCCATTTGTGGAGACTTCGTCTGATTATGCAGATGATTTGTCAGAATTTTCAGATGCTTCGTCGGATTGCCGGTTGTACAAAGGCCTCCGCTGAAATTGTGTACAGGACACTATTATTGGGATTGTTGATATTGTTTTGAGATTTAGGTGTTGCATTTGGGTTTCTGCATCTAGGCATGGTTGGTGGAAGAGGTCAAGGAGGAAGGAGCCCAATTGGAGGGCGCGACCGATGAGCTTGGTCTGAGCGGAGGTGAATCAGACGATGGAGCTCGTGAGTTCTCTGATTTGAAATTCGAATCGAGGTCTTTGTTCATGATTCAGGGTTGGGGACGAGGAGAGGGAGAGAACGCGAGCAGAGAGGAGAGTAGAGGACGCGAGCAGAGAGCGATCGAAGGGATTAGCTAGTCCCATGGTTCACGACGTCTCTCGCTAAGACCGTCTAGCATGGTCTTTAGTGGAGGCGAGTCCGGCTTACTCCCACTAAAGCTAGTCCCGTGAAGTAACAAACATGGGACTGGACTAACTATTAATCTAGTCCAGTCCAATGAGGGCTAGTGAAGGGAAACAAACACCCCCTTAAGGTAACGCATGATGTCATTAACACCTATCCAGTGTTGTGTGTAGGCGCATTATTATATCTTGCCAAAAGATTCATAGCGAATGAGATTTCTAGTCTAGTGCATTAAGCCAAGTACAATAAACCTTCGATTGCACTTAAGTATGAAACTTTAGGTTCCAAGACCCTTTCATCCTCATTTTTAGGACGAAACCATTCTCATTTTGCATCTAGAGTCACAAGTCCTTTTTGGTGTAGTTCAATTGGTGGACTTGAATACCATGTGAACAATGCTCTATCTCCAGACCAATACGGCGTTGAGTTTTCCCAAGATCTTTCATCTCAAATTCCCATTTTAGGCGCGGAACAGGTTTCTCCCTTGAGCAGTGTTGGAGTTGAAGCAGGTTAAGGTTCCATCATAAAATCAATTGACAATATGAAAAGGAGCCCTTATAAGCACATGCAAGAGATTCATACTCTCAATACACTTGCTCACATGTGGTGAATTTTTAAGCATAACACATGAACAACACAAATTAAGTGGCATGGAGAAACGTGTAAACCATGCAAGAAGGTAAAGTTCCACCATAACTAATTGACAATTTGGAGAGTAACACAACTTCTTATAAACAAAATATTTATACTCTCGACAGAGCCTCTCGAGCAATGCTCGAATTCCTCTTGAGACCCCTCCTATATTGCGTGAACTCCCCTTCAAACCCCTTCATGCAATTGAATCTAAAAGTAGAAAAAAGAAACAGTAAAAGCATTTTACATGAGTGTTGATATTCGCATTTCAAAAATTCACGATGCTTCATGAAACTCCCTAAGTGTACCTTTAATTCTCTTTTTTTCACTCCTCATGGTAATTAATGAAAAAAGAATTAGTAACTAATCATGAATAAAAAGAATTACTACCATCCTAATTACTAAATTCTAACTCCTAACTCCTAACAAAGAAATTATTCACCTCTCCTCTTTCTCTTTCTTCCTACTTAGACCAAGCAACTGCTTCAATCTCAAACTGGGCACTTCTGTACAACTCTAGCCTCTTTGCAAGCAATGTACGCCTCTGCATTACCGCCGGATCCTCGTCTAGCAACTTAGCCAACTGTCTTGTCTGCAACGAAAATTAAATGGTTTCGAAAATCTTATTAGTATAATTCTAATTCAACTGAGCTTGGTTTCTTTGTTCTTGTCAAATCTTTTCGTAAATTTCACTCTTGTAGGGAACAATCCTCACCTCCTTTGCACCCAACTCTGCGAAGAAATGATCGAGCAAGCAGCGTTTGGCCTCTCGTACTTGACAGTAGATGATGGACTTTGGAATAGCAATCCTTAAACTCGAACAAACCATGTTGACATAGCTTAACACATTGTGTCCTGTTTGTTTCAAACACAAAAAAACCGTGATCATCAATTCAACCACATAACCTGATAAATCTAATGACGAAGTGATGGTAGAATGAAATGGTTGTCAAACGGGCCATGAATATGTATCATTTTAAAATTGTGTCTCCTAGTTCTTGTTAAGTGATTCAAATCTTGGATATGATTATAGAGGTATTTAGAGTTAGAGAGCAACTCACCAACCCGCAGGAGGTATGCATCATTGTATCTATCGAAGAGTGAGTGTGTCGGATTTCCACCCTTGTCAATATCTTGAGGAAGCTTGCGGAAAAAGTCAACTGTTAGGTAACCACATTCCATATCTACTAGCTGTAGAGTTGCTCTCTTGCTTTCTTCTTTCATCCTTTCCAGCGACTCAAATGCTGCATTCGCAACTTCTACTCTTAAAGTGGGATACTGCTTTAGTTCCTACATAACAAAGAAGAACCATAAATTAAGAGAAAAGATTAGTCATGTTTAGGGACAAATAAGGAATGATAAGCAATGTTGACAAAATGTCCTAGATTCCTAATTTACAGACAGAATTCATGAATGCAAGGTAATAAACTTACCGTAGTCTCGTTGATAGATTTTTGAGCCAGATCCTTCAATATGCCATGAACCTGAAATCATGAAGAAAGACAATTAAGCAAAATGATTCGAAGCACTGACACATTATACAGGTTTGTAATGGAAAAAATGATGCTAGCACCAGCACTGGAATTAACAGTTGGAGAATTAAAACAAACGAAAGATAGTTATTGATTTTCAAGGATTGTTTATATCTTTCATGAATGCATTACAATTGTTTAGCCGTATATAAAGAGATGAACTCTCCTTGAGTTATGCCACAACCGGTGGACTCCTAAGAAAAGAGAACAAATGATTAGAGACACACTTGAGTGGTTGCTTTACCCCTAACCCTACACACTTGAGTAGATGCTTTAACCCTACTTAAAGAGAACAAATGATTAACCACTTAGGAGACACACTTGAGTGGTTGCTTTACCCCTAACCCTACACACTTGAGTAGATGCTTTAACCCTACTTCCAATACTCCCCCTCAAGCTGGATCCAGAAGATTTATGGATCCAAGCTTGGAAAAAAGTTGTTGAAACTAGTGAGAGGCCAAGGGTTTGGTGAAAATGTCGGCCAATTGATCACATCTTCTGGTATAATGGGTCTGAATCACTTTTGACTGGACTTGTTCCCGAACATAATGACAGTCAACTTCAATATGTTTCGTCCTCTCGTGAAACACTGGGTTTGATGTTATATGCATTGCTGCCTGATTGTCACAAAATAAAGACATGGGGAGAGTTGTAAACACTCATAAGTCGCTCAAAAGACCCTTTAGCCATATCAGCTCACACGCAGTGGAGGCCATTGCACGATACTCGGCTTCAGCACTTGAGCGTGCGATGACATTTTGTTTTTTGCTCTTCCATGTGACCAAATTTCCACCAACAAATGTACAGTAACCTATTGTGGACTTACGATCAATTGCGTTTCCCGCCCAATCAACGTCGCAATATCCCATGAGTTGTGTGTTTTCATTCTTCTTCATGATAATGCCACGACCCACATACCCTTTTAAGTAGCGTAATATCCGCTTAACAAGGTTCAAATGCTCAATTGTGGGAGAGTGCATGAATTGGCTTACAACACTTACGGAATATGTGATGTCAGGTCTGGTGATTGTTAGGTAGATCAGCTTACCAACAAGCCTCTGATAATGGCGTATATTAGTGAGTGGCGTGCCCTCCAAGCTAGGTTTGAGCTTGCTATCCAGAGAAGTAATTGCAGGTTTGGCATCTCTCATGTTAACTTCCTTGAGCAAATCCAGGATATACTTTCTTTGATTTAGAAATAGTCCCTTGTGAGAAGTTGTCATCTCTATGCCAAGGAAATACTTCAATACCCCAAGGTCTTTAATTGCAAACCTTTGTCTGAGTGACTGTTTGAGTTTGAAGATCTCTTCAGCATTATCTCATGCAATTATTAAGTCATCGACATAGATCAACACAACCAATTTGCCCACAACTCCAATGCGAACAAATAATGAGGAATCGACATTGCTTCTTTTGAAACCAACACTTGTGAGAACTGAGCTTAGCTTGCCATACCAAGCTCGGGGGGATTGTTTCAATCCATAAATTGATTTATGCAATTTGCACACTAAATCATGCTCATTGCTTTGAGGGTGCCCTGGTGGCAATTTCATATAGACTTCTTCTTCGAGATCACCATGTAAGAATGCATTCTTCACGTCCATTTGGTACATGGATCATCCCTTATTGACAGCCACAGACAATAGAACCCTAATTAAGTTCATTTTCGCAACAGGGCAAACGTTTCTTTGTAATCTACATCGAAAGTTTGAGTGAATCCCCTAGCCACTAACCTTGCTTTATGTCTCTCAATTGAGCCATCTGAATTGAATTTGATCTTATAAATCCATTTAAAACCCACAACCCTTTTTCCTTTTGGAAGTGTGGTTATACTCCACGTTTTGTGTTGATCTAGAGCTTTAAGTTTTTCTTGCATTGCTTCTTTCCACACTTCTTTGTTGTTAGCCTCATGGAAATTCTGAGGCTCACTACAACTTGCAATGTTACTTAGGAATGCAGCATGGGAGTGAGTCACCTTTTGGTAGGACACATAATTGGAGATTGGATGTTTGGGTTTGTAGGTGACGAAGTCTTGAAACCTTAGGGGAGGTTGTCTTGCACGCATTGGATTGCATCGTGGGGCTGTTGTGTGATTTGTCTCACACTCGTTCACATCTTGAGCCACACTGTGAGGATCATCTTGATTGTCACCATCTTCATGTGTTGTACCATCAGAGTGAGGGCCTTCATTGCCACTTTCAGTGAGGGATGCCTCAGTGTTGACATGGCTAAGAACTCTATTTGTTGAAGCATCAAGGTCGATTCTTGGTAGAGGAAACACCTCCAACATACACTCTCCTTGACTTGTTGTTTCAAGTGACTTGCTGTAAAAAGGGTCAGTCTCATGGAATCGAACATCTTTAGACACAATCAATTTCCTCAATTGGGTATTATAACACTTATATCCCTTTTATGTAGAAGAATAGCCAAGGAAAATGCATTTAACAGCTCGAGGGTTCAATTTACCTTGATGATGAGGTTGAATATGTACAAAGCAAATACAGCCAAAGACTCTAAGGTGTGAAAGATCAATTTTCCTACCTTTCATGACCTCAAGGGGTGATTTAAACTCCAAGACTCTGCTAGGTAACCTATTTATGATATAGGTAGCTGCCATGACTCCTTGGGACCAAAATTTCTTTGGTACATTCATTTGTAGCATTAGTGCTCTAGTTTTTTCAAGTAAGTCACAATTTTTCCTTTCGGCTATGCCATTTTGTTGAGGTGTGCCAACACAACTTGTTTGATGCATGATGCCATAAGTGCTCAAATATTGTGTCATGATATGAGATGTGTATTCGGTGCCATTGTCAGACCTTAAAGTTTGAATTTGAGAAGTGAAAAGGTTTTTAAGAAGATTATGAAAATCCTTAAAAGCTTCCATAACTTCATTCTTAGACTTTAAGAGGTACAACCATGTGGCTCTAGAGAAATCATCAACAAATATCACAAAATACTTATAACCATCAAAAGATTCTAAAGTTGGTCCCCATACATCCGAATGGACAAGTTCAAAACACTTACTAGCCTTGGATAAGGAAGAGTTAAAAGGTAATCTAGTGGACTTAGACAAGTGACATGTTTCACATGAAATTACATCCTTCCCTAAGTTTGGAAATAAAGTTGACAAAATGGGTGGAGAAGGATGAGCTAAACGTTGATGCCACAATTGGTTATCTTGGATAGAGTAGGACTTGGCTTGAAACCCTATGGGATTACTCTTCGATATGTAATAGAGACCATCTAGATAAAACCCTTCACCAATCGTCTTCTTGGTTGCACATTCCTGAAAAACAACATTGTGATGGGAGAATATGCAATTTAAGGTATTTGTGATTTTTCCCACAGATAGGAGTTAAAATGGAAAGGAAGGAACATATAAGGCCACCGACTCAATTTCATCAGATATTAAGTTGATTTTTCCCTTTCCTAAAACCTTTTCATTTTCACCATTTGCAATTGAAACTTAGGAAGGATTTAATAATTTTCAAACGTATGAAACTTAGACACATGGTTGGTCATATGGTCTGTGGCACCCGAATCTACAACCCAAAAATCATGCAACATATTTATATTAAGAGCAGTTTTGAAAGCTTTCATGATACCTTGCATGTCTTCTTGAGGTACGTGTTTCGTGTCAGCCAAGAAACCAGCAAACTTGCCTAGCAAAGCTGTTGGGTTTCCGTCTTCAATGTTGTCTATTCGGTCACTTCCAGTCTCTCATTTCTTTCTTTGAAGATACAATGCAAACTCATTCATGAGTGCAACTGGATTAGCTGTGAAGTTCTTGACTATGTCAGACACATTTGAAGAGGAGGCAGACACATGATTTGCTCGATGTACAGTACGGTTCACTCTCTGTGAAACCTTGTTGTCCTTCATGAAATCAGGCTTTAATTCTGGATGTAAAATCCAACATGTCTCCTTAACATGGCCCGTATAGTTGCAGTGTTGGCACTTCAAGTTTGGATGCTTCACTTTGTACTTCTTCTCGTTGATTAGGTAGGCCCTTGCTTCAGATACATTGGCCTTTGTACCAATGTTCATGACCTTCCTCCTTACTTTCTCACGTTGAATTGTTGCACAAATACTGGTGAAGGAAGGAAGTTAAGTGTTCATGAGTATGTGGCTTCGTAGGTCTTCATATTCTGAGTCGAGACTGGACAGAAGTTGAAATATCTTGTCTTCTTCTGCTCTCTTCCGTAGCAAAGCAGCATCAGTGGTATGAGGGCGATATATTTCCAACTCATTCCACATGCTTTTCATGCTACCTAAAAGTTATTCAAAGGGTTTACCTTCTTGTTGCAGGTTGGAGATGTCCTTTTTTAATTGGAAAACCCGTGCAGCATTGTTCTGACTGCCATACATTTCCTTGACAGTCTCCCATAGCTGGAGTGAAAATTCAGAGTAACTGAATATTTCAGCTAGGTTACATTCCATGGAATTTAGGAGCCATGACATAACTAGCTGATCATTGCTAAGCCAGCATTCATAAGCTGGTGAGGAAGCATCAGGAACTTCGATGTTTCCATTTATGAATCCTAACTTGGTCCTTCCACCTAGGGCAAGTGATACAGCCCTCGACCAAGGCAAATAATTAAACTCATTCAACAAGACTAAGCTTAATCTTTGATTTGGGTTGATATCCACCTCAGGCATATTCACGAAGGAAAAAACCAGTGACCTTTCAGCATCCGACCCAAGAGGATTGTCTTTAGCCATTTTTAAGGTTGAACCCGTTCAGATGGTAGTAAAGCAGAAGCAGGTTATTTTTCCTGCTCTGATACCATATTGATTTTCAAGGATTATTTATATCTTTCATGAATGCATTACAATTGTTTAGCCGTATATAAGGAGATGAACTCTCCTTGAGTTATGCCACAACCGGTGGACTCCTAAGAAAAGAGAACAAATGATTAGAGACACACTTGAGTGGTTGCTTTACCCCTAACCCAACACACTTGAGTAGATGCTTTAACCCTACTTAAAGAGAACAAATGATTAACCACTTAGGAGACACACTTGAGTGGTTGCTTTACCCCTAACCCTACACACTTGAGTAGATGCTTTAACCCTACTTCCAATAATAGTGCCGAATGCAAATATAAAATTCAACATTTCATATTATTAACACATTCGTGCGCCCATCACATGCTGCAAAGGAAGCATTTTTGCCTCAGGTATGAAAGTCTTTTGGCCACATGGAAACTAAGACAATAGCTTACTTGTGCAGTATCAGTTTTATATGGAGAAAAACATTCCCATGGTTTAATTGCCTAAGGAGTTACATGCGAAGATATGTACACATACCGCATCAACAGCCATCTCTGCAGGACCTCTGATGCAAATCAAGGAAGATTCAATAAGGCGACGGTAACCTTGTTCAGGAGCAATTAGATGAGGCTGGTATCCATCTGCTTCAGTAATTAGCTTTCGGATGTTATCCATAGAAAGATACCTGTCAAACTGCAACCGTTTCAAAGCAGCTGGAAATTGATTGTCAAACACTCCATAAACTTTCTCACCACCAGAGCGCCTGGAGAAATTGAAAATTATCATAAATCCCAAGGTTGAATAAGGAAACCAGAATGAGATGAAAACAAACTTTCCAATTAACTTCAAAAAAGACAATGATAGCACAATACATACACGCCATCCAGATGTTCTTTAAATATCTGATCGAAAGTACGAGAGATTTCCATGATCACATATAATTTTCCCTGCTTGTTAAAAAACGATCGAACTGACATTAGCAATGCTTATTGTAATACATACAATACAACAATATAGACCACCCAAGAAAACTTTGCTAGGTATACATTATTTATTATGGAAAAAAGGAAAGGATATGACAAAGAACTATTTATATGTATATCCTTACTCCAGCATCAGCAGCAATAGGCTTCCCGAGTCGGCTTAGTTCTGCCTCTAGTTCACCAATAGTTTTGCTGACAAGAGACTGAAGGCCTGGAATTCGAGACTTGATGACAACTTCTAGATGCTGAAAGTTTGATTACGTTAAGTGATAGGTAAGAAGTTCATAAGTAAAAAAAAAAAAAAAACACTGACCACCATTGCAAATGTATCATTAAAAGGAAGCAGACTGGATCTCTTAAGTATGCTTCTCTAACTTTATAATCTATAAGAGCAAATAATTGTGTCTGAAAGTGCAACGACAACTGAACATATAAAATGCAATTAGGATAACAAACCTGCATACCTTAGAAAGCACCCTGCCTAAATGCTCAGAGCCCATCCTGTTTGCAAGATGCCTGTACTCTGGGCTACCAGAAAAATATTCACGCTCTCGACGCCTAGCAGCAATCATATCAACACTCTTGTTTATATCAGCTTGGGAGCGATTGACAATGCCAATCCAGGGGAACTGTAGCTTATATGATCTTCCTTCCAAAATCTGAAAAGTAAAAGTAAAATAAAACCCTAGAAACTGGAAACTCTCATGTAGGCAGCCATAATGATACTGTAATGTGACTTTTGAGTACAAAACAGATCGTGAAAACATGTGTGCAGCATTGATGATCTCAGAGCACCACCCTTACAATTTAATCATAACATTAGGTTTCACAGACCTAAAACAAGGGGTCCTAAAACAAGACAATAAAATGTCACCAAGCAGGTAAACTGCTTTGATTCCACACTTAAAAGCGAACACGTTTGCTCTCTTCTTTTTTATCTTCCTTTTTCCTCTTTTGGCTATGAATTCAGAAGTGACTTACATCAACTGCATTTGTACCCTGGTCCATAAGATCAATCTTCGTCAGAACTCCAAATGTCCTCTCCCCTGAGAAATGGAACCAAATTTAAAATCAATGTGTGTAAATGGAAAATACTCCTAATTAGTGAAATCTGCCACTTTTGAATTGACATATGTTTTGGTCATCCGAAGACGAGAGCATTTCTCAAAACCAGAGGAAACAAAACTTAAACATATGAAATCTTGATATCCTCCTTTCACCTCACTGCTACAAATTAAAACTCATCTTCTTATCTTTTTCGTTCGTTTTCACATCTTCACCCTTCCTGTTTACAACTTGTCAAATTTGTTCACCTGCTCAATCTTATTACTCTTTTTTTTTTTTTAATTTTTGGAATTAAGTAGGCTTATTAATCATCCCCACCATGTAGCAATCTTACCTTTAGGATCGACTTCACGAGAGATCTTAATTGCATCAGAAGTAGCAAGATCTTGGTTGGCAGGGGAAATAGCCAAAATAATACAGTTGGGCTGGCAAGAAAAGGCATATTATTCCAATAAATTAAGCATATTTCATGAGATGAAACATCTCATAGAAACACAAAACACAAGTCTCATAATCTAATAGCTCATAAATGTTCTTAACAACACAGTAAGAAGATTACTTTCTCAATGAAGGACCTAACCATATCCTCAATGTCCTTCACTGTGCTCTCTGCTTGACCATCTGCAAGACCACAAAAATCGACACAATGTCAACTTACATAAGGTGCCAACTTCCAAGGGAATTTATCCGACCCTACTTGAAAATTCTTAAAGGAGTTTAACTCACCAACAGCGACTTTCGTGAGCCCAGGAAGATCGATCAATGTCAAGTTCACAACTGCCAAGATCAAACAAATAATAAAGATAAATAGAACAGATTTTATGAGCTCCAGAGTAAAAATTTAGTGAAAGAGAACTAAAACGACTAGAAAAAGCTTTGTGAGCTCCAGAGTAAGTAACCTCTCTTTCTTTCGTTTCTTTCTTAACATTTATCTTTAAATTTATTATGAGCGATCAAACCGATCAGCTACATTCTGATTTTTGTGAATGTAAAATCCAACAATTCAAAGTTTTCGACAATTCTATCTCACCGTTAGGGGAGAAGATACTAAGATGGATGGGAACGGTAGAAATTGCCTTCGAGCGGCCGGTCTCTCTGTCGGTTTCATCAGATATCTCCTGTCTCACAGCAGCTACACATACACAAAGAAACAAGATCAACGTTTGCAATGCAGGTCAAGAAACCGAAACAATTTGCAGGAACAACGAAGAAGAAGAAGGAAATTACCAAAATCGGTGAACCGCTTCCTGGGGAGGTGCATAAACTCAGCGTATTCTCTTCCTTCGTCGATCTTATGCAGCTGCAAAACCAGAGGACGCCGCGTAACAATTCCTGCACGCAACGTGTTCGAATCAAAACCCGAACCCGAAAACCAACGCGTTCACGTAAGAATCCAAAAAAGACGCGGTTTCATGCATTACCTGAACCGCGAGGAAGAAAGTCCTTGCCGACGACGCTCTCCAACACGGAAGACTTGCCGGAGCTCTGTCGAAGCAAGAAAGGAAACGAGAAACGAGAAACTCGATGAGATTTAATTCAAGAAAGCGTGAAGTTTGAGAGGGAGATATTAGAAATGAGAGACCTGGCCGCCAACGACGGCGATGGCGGGCAAGGAGTCCCAGAGAGTGGGCATGGCGCCCTCCTCGCCGTGGTCGCCGAGGGCTGTGCAAGCCCGCTGTATTTTGTTCACCAGCGATATCAAACTCTCCATCGGACGGACGTTTCGGATCGCTGAGTCGAGTCGTTTCGAGGATCGGTCGGAGGTGGCGAGCGTAGAGAGAGAGAAATAACAGAATTTTGGAGGGTAGGAAACGACGGGAAATGGAATACCGGGTCGTTGGTGCGAAAATTTCTGATGCGTCCAAAGTTTGAAAATTGGGCAAGTTTTAGATTAAAAGCCCAAAGAGATGCGTGGACCGATTCTACCGGATCTAAACCTTTTTATGGGCTTTAAACGAATTCATTTTTTAAGCCCAACTCCTAACCATATCATAAACCGCCTGGCAAAATTTGGTTTTCCCATATTCAATGTCCTATTCAAATTTTACAGTCTAGCGATATTTCTTTTTTATTTGTACATGATAGGTTTTATGAGTTTAGTTTCAATTTTATTTGTGATCTCTTCCCTTAGTGTAAATATATTGTAGTATAAATATATTATAATGTCGAGTGTATAAGTGCTTGTTGGAACCAAATTTGCGCATTGTCGTAGACAGAGAAGCTAGGCAAATCCAACTACCTGAAAAAGAACAAACAACCACAATTAACCTAAGGTACCAATGGGGTACTAGTCAAAGGCTCCCTAGGATTAGATATTGTGTTCTTGCAAGAGTATGATTACTTGTAGTGCACTTCAATCCATAAATTGTACAAATCTCGAAGAATATAGGAAACCCATATGACCCCTAATCGAATCAGATTTTCATGTCTTGTGAAACAAGAATAGGCAATCTTAGCGAAGTAGGACTTCGCCTACCTTTACGAAGTATAGCAAGATATGGTGGCATCGTTGGACTGTTTGAGCAGCTCAATCCGATTGGAACTATAAGGTGTGTTGATGCACAAAACCGGGGTGGTCTTGGAACAACGTAAATCCGACCGTGAATCTGCACAAACGCTCAAGAACACGAAGAACACAAAGAACACAAGGATTTTATCGTGGTTCACCCCAATGTTTGGGCTACGTCCACACTGTAGTTGATTCTGTTTCTCTGTAAGTGTATGGATACAAGTGTTTGGGGGAAGTCCCTAGAGAAAGAAGAGAAGGGAGAGGAGAGCCTCGGTGGTGTGAGGTCTCTCCTGAATGTAATGAGAGCTTCTCTTAGCCTTCTTAGGCTTGGCTCTTTTGCCCTCTTAGAATGAGGGGAGGAGTCCCCTTTTATAGAATAAGGGGCTCCTCCTCTTTTACAAAGTATGGACTTTAGTGTGAGGCCCAAATACAAGGCCCAAGGCCCAAATATACGAGGCCCTAAATATGGTATAAACAAGGTGCATGACCAATCCCAATCTGTCTTACTTCGGCCCTAAAAAATCATGGTCCCACATTGCTCTCTATCACTAAAGCCACATGTTCTAAGCTTGAACCCGACTTTAGTTGATTAAATAAGAACTCCACTTCTTTATTAAGAAAGGATAACACATTTTCTTGTCCATCCACATGTGATTAACGTATTGTTATTATAGAAATGTCATAATTATAACCATTTATGTTTAATTCTCTGCAAGAAAAATCAATCAAGTTTGAGATTGTTTAATTATTTACATATATTAAATAATTGAATGTTTAATTATTTACATATATTAAATAATTGAATGGTTCATCCTCAAAATTTACTAGTTGCAAAAACTGTGATTTATACAAAAGACTAGTAATTTCCAGTTTGATTAAGTTTCGTTTGCAAAAGCAATCCTTTAATAATAATAATAGAAAAACAATCTTAATTCGGCCATTTTTAATGCAGTGCCAAATAAGTTAATAACCCAAAATGTCCTCTTTTTATCCTAAACTCATCCTAACCAGGAATCTCCAATAAAATTCCAATGTCAATATACTTAACGGGCTTGCTAAATGTAGCCTCCTTTGTAGGTACGGGCCAACGTTGTGCTTGGGCTCCACCTTGTGCAAACTGGTTGAGCTGATGCGCTGACTCTACTTTTGTGTGACGTAGTACATCAAATATCAAATACAAAATGGTATAATACAAATGATTAAAAAATTTGTTTAAGCATCTAATTACTTGGATTATGATTCTTAATGTACCAATTGTATTCCTGACATACTGACAAAATGGCCTTAGAATTGAGTGAACAAAAGTATTGTGCAAGTTCAAATTCTGGTCCCATTACCCGTTAGTGAGAGTGGACAGGACGTAAGTGCGGGAACTTCCGTGTATCAATTTCCAAAAAAGTCCAAAATAAAAAACTAAGAGAAAAAAGGTAATCAAGACTCTCTCTAGCATATTCCACCTCGTGCAAACTGATTGGGTTGGTGTGCTAGCTCTATTTTAATATGACGTAGTACATTAAATATCATATGCAAAATGTTATAATACAATTGATTAAAAAATTTGTTTAAACATCTAATTACTTGGATTAAGATTTCTAATGTACCGATTGTATTCCCGACGTATTGACAAAATGGCTTTAGAATTGAGTGAACAACAGTATTGTGCAAGTTCAAATTCTGGTCCCATTACCCGTTAGTGAGAGTGGACAGGACGTAAGTGCGAGAACATTCATGTATCAATTTCCCAAAAAGTCCAAAATCATAAACTGAGAGAAAAAAGGTCCTCAGACTCTCTAGCATATTCCTTCCTCATTTGGATGTCCAACGTAAAATCAACCCATACGCCTTCTTCTCCGCCACAAATTCTCGTCCCATATAAATTCACCATTCCTTCGCTACTCCCAGACTCTGCTTCCACCAGGACCGCCACCTTCTCACACCTTCTCACATCCTCTCTCTCTCTCTCTATGAAATGCTGACTGAAACCCAAATCCTCTCATGGACTCAGTTGTAACGAAACACTCACTCACTTCCTTTAATCTCAGCCCCTTTCAATCCACCACCGCCGCAGCAACCTCCTCCTTCTCCTTCTTCAGATTCTCTCACTCCAGAAAACTCAGAACTTCAACGTCCTCAATCTCCTGCTCCCACAGACCGCCTTCCAATCCAAAATACCCAAAACCCGGATCGGATTCTCATAATTTCCCCCTAAATCCCCTCTGGGTTTTGGTCCCGGTCCTCCAAAGCATCGGAGTCTTGGCCTCCTCACGAACCCAGAAGTGGGTTTCTTTCCTACAGGCTTACGGAGGGTCAGAGAGTTTCGTGGAAGCAAAAAGCAATGACTTTTTACACAATAGCGGGATTGGGGTGGCGTTGCTGAGCGTGACGACCAATGCCAAGGTGAAAATTAGTCCTTTCGTGGCGCAATTGGCTGCGAATCCGACCTTTGTTTCGGGGCTTTTCGCATGGTTTATGGCGCAGTCAATGAAGGTTTTGCTGAACTTCTTTGTGGAGAGGAAGTGGGATTTCAGAATATTGTATTCCTCCGGAGGTATGCCGTCGTCGCACTCGGCGTTGTGCACGGCATTGACGACGTCTGTGGCGCTCTGTCACGGGGTTGCGGACTCGCTTTTTCCGGTTAGTTTGGGGTTCAGTCTCATTGTTATGTATGATGCTATTGGTGTTCGACGGCATGCTGGTATGCAAGCAGAGGTAAGCAGTAAATTTCCGTTCTTTCAATTTTTGTTCAAGTGTTGTGGATGTAGTTTTTTATTTTTTGCATATATCTGTAATTTATTTGAGATGTTATTGGTTTCAAGAGGTGCTTTTGGTATGATTGATTAGTGTAATATTGCATATTGGTAGGAAGGAGTTATGGAACTTCTAGTGGTCCCAATGGATGAGGTGAGTACAATGAAGTTAATGAAATATAATTACAAATTAGGAGCTAATATTTTACCGAGGATTAAGGGTGACTAGAATCTAGATCATACAGTTGAATGTGATTATCGAGTATGGAGGTTTAAAGTTAATCAATTAAGACGTTGGTGTGGTTGGCCCTTAGTTGGATAGGATCGGGGATGACCGTGGTTTTAGATTATTGGGGTTTTAGAGTTAATGAGGTTGCTGATAGGTAGTTTTGAAGCAATCAATCTATGTGAACAATTCATGAAGCGCAGTGCCAAAGCACAATGCAACATCCTTCCTCTTTTTTGTTTCACGTTCGAGTTACAGTCCTCCTGCAATGTATTCACAAGTTCAGCAAGATTTAATAGTTTCTTCTCTGCCTGGCCCGTTGAGTGTGCAATGTGTGTGAATACCACGCTTTGATCATATGTAAACAACGGAATATGGGCATATTGTGAGAATTTTTCGCAGCTCCCAGTTGAACCTAAAAATTATTTGAAAGCTGAAACAATATAGATAGAAAATTTGAAGTTTTGGGTTTTACTTCCGGCGAAGTTTATGTTGGGGAGTGTATGTAGCTTTAGGTCAGGTCCAATAACTAGGAAACCTTCAGTTTTTTTACTTCTCATGGAACTGAAAGAGAAATTTAAGGCAGTATTAATATCTATAGTATGTATGAATGAGGGGACAATCCTTTGTAATCTCGAGCAATCTCATTTTAGTCTTCTTTGAACCCTTCAATATGTTTTTCGCCTGAGAACCCTGTGTGCATATATGTTGGGCTCTGATAGTTATTTGACTTCCTGCTGCCGTGTTGTATACATTTTCATATATATTTTTATTTCTTTTGACACAGGTCCTTAACATAGTCGTTGAGTACTTGTTCAAGGGGCATCCCATCAGCCAGAAAAAGCTCAAGGAACTCCTTGGCCACACTCCCTCCCAGGTTATTGGTGGAGCTCTCCTCGGCATTTTGGTTGCTTGCGTTTGTTGTCAGGGCAGCTTGGTTGCCTCCTGAACTGACCTTGCAGGTAATTTCAGTCGGATTTTTGTTGACACACAACATTCTGGTGTTGACATGGCCAGATAAGTCATTGTACTTTAATTCTTCATTCAAAACCAGAGAGACATTGGTTCAAAAAGTTGATAGCAATGTTATTTTATCCCTCGCAAAACCGATCCCCGGCCCTCACTGACTATGGACAAATTTGAGAAATGTATTCACAGGGCCGGAAATTTGTTGTAAGATGTTTCAGGATTCCCAAGAAGTTGGCCTGAAATTTGGCTTGAAAGGGGACTGCTGTAACTCTGTAAACAATCTGTGTATGATTCTGTGAATAGTTGACGACCCTGGCCTTGTCTCCAT